CAGTCTACGGTTGGAGGGTGGTGAAATAGAGAGGTTGGTTGAGAGAGAGAGAGAGAGAGAGAGAGAGAGAGGTTTGTTTGTCGTATAAGAGGGGTTTGGCTTTCTCTTTCGAGCTGTAACGTAAAGGAAACGGGACGGGTGAGAGAGAAGAAGGGTGGTAGACGGGGTCATTGGAACCACTTCTACTAGGAATCTCTTGGCAGAGGAGAGAGAGAGAGAGAGAGAGAGAGAGAGAAGAAGAAGTCATACAAATTTTTAATGAATTTTAAGTATTTTTCTTTTTCATATGGGTGTTTTTAAATTCATTGATTGGACAAACATGTGTATTTTTTTAATGCTTGAGTTGTTATTTATGTATTTCTTCATTTTGAAGGAAACAGAGTTTTGCTTCTTAAAATTTATTTGGTTACAGAATTAATTAGTGTAGGTAGAATTTATAGGGACTATGACTTTTCTGCTATGGACCAATTTTGACTGCCAAAATCAGTGTTATTTTTATACAAGCACGTAATTATAAAGTTTCATTTGGTGTAGCTATATTCTGAGAAATACAAGCACTTTAATTAAAAGTGATTATGGCTTTTTAAACTATAAAGTCTGTCCTTTTCAATCTGAATCTTTCTGATTGAACTTTCTCCTACATGCTTTGGTGACTTGAAGATTCAACAATGAAAGTACACCAAGCTAAGCAATATCTAAGAGACTTCCCCATTAATTATTAAACTACTATTATTTGTGAGATAACCAATGTTAGACTTTTAGCTTATTGATATAAAAAAGCAGAATGATGCAAGCAGATTAAGTTTTAAAATGTTTAGGTATAGCTGCATTCATGCTTTGCATCATGTTTTGATCTGATTCCAAATTTACTTTAAATTTTTAAGATCAGCCTATCTAGGTCATGTTTCATGCCTTAAACTATTGATTAAGGATTGAAAGATGGAGATTAAGTCCTTAAAAAATAAAGTTTTGAAATGTCAATTTTTGAAATAAATTGCTGTCATAATACATATATTTACTCTTGCTTCTTTTTATCATGGTTTTCTTTCTTTTTCACAAATTTGAAAGTGATTTCCCATCACATAGACTAATCCAAACCCGACTTCCAATACTGACTTTTCTACATCTTTATAGTAAAGAAACAAGGGTTTCTCCGAATTCAAGCAAAAATGATATCTAATTATGATTAATTAGGTTGATTTCCAATACTAACTCTTCTACATCATTTTAACCCAACGTTTCGATATGGATCAAAGCAAAATAATGAAAAATAAAAAATAATTATTTAAACAAACTAAACCGAAATATCGAAACGCGGATAATTTGAATGAGATGTCCACCCTACTCCTACGCCATACAACCAATCAGACATAATGGCATGTTGGAAAGGACAGAATAGGTCAATTGCAATAGGAGAAGAACGTGAAAAAAAACCAAAAGAAAAAGAATAAGGGGAGGACTTGACCATAAAATTTCTATATCTCAAGTCGTCTCTAGATAGTCAAAGATAAAATTGGTGACCTTGCAAGACAAGTTTTTTGGAGTGTTTGAAGGGTCAAGCAATTATAATATGCCACGCCACTGCAGGAATTTAATCTGCTCACCCACTGCATCTCATTGGACAGAAGAATCATGGGTCAACTTCATTTGTGAGCTCATTGATCCTTCTAATCGCAATTGGGTGGTTGCATATGAATCCACGCCACATGTTTCAGCTAATTGGCTACGAGCATGACAATTTATAATCCAATTTCAAGTGGTGAACTAATTTGTTCATTGCTTACATTGACATAACCGTCATTACATTTAAAATGCATATTTGGAGGGCTACCCATGTGGATTATTATTATTATTATTTTCAAATCAAATCGACTACTTCCATTTCCTTTGGATGCAACTAAAATAGTGAGAACATATACCCCACATTCGATCAATATAAAATTAACAAACATGACCATAAAACGGCTAGAAACAAACTTAACAGAAGAAATATCCCAACACCAAATGCATATCACTCGCGTCAATTCATAGCAATCTGTAGTTGATTGTGACCAAGGTTTAAAATATCGGTGGTATTGGAAATATCGGAAGACCAAAAACACGGAAATATCGATGGAAATATCGGGATATTATCGGTATCGGTAAAAATTGAATAAAAACCACGGAAATTGTAAGAAAAACTTGGAAATTTTATTGAAACTTTGCAGGATGTTTATTTATTCGATTATCTATTAGTTTATCACAAAAAATTGGAAGTAAATGCATTGCATGATGGATTTAACTGATTTAAGTTGATTATATAGCGAGCTGGCAAACACTGTAAGTGTAGAAAATATGTAGTAATTAATGAAAGAAGATTAAACACACCATAATCATTTATATATAATGAATTACTACAATATTTTACACTTTATACATTGCATGGTAAGATACATGAGTGACTTAGTACCACATAGAGTTCTTATGATGTTCAAAATTTTCACTATCTTTATCATCTCTATGTGTAGAGTAAGTATATTTTGAAGAGTAGTCATCAAATAATAAATCCCCAAAATAGTTTTGCATGTAATTGTTAACATGCCACCCATATGGATCCAAGATTGGTTGACGTTGTCCATAAGCAAAATCATTTGAAGATTGAGTCTCGGATTCTTTCCATGAGTCGCTTGATTCCATCCCAACAGGAATGGGATATGAAGGGTAGGGAAATGGTTGGTTATGAGTATAACCATAGTTACTACTCATCTCATGTGAAAAATTGTTTCTTGCAAAAAGAATTCAAAACAAAACCATGTATATATATAAATATTTTAGCATATTTTCACAAAAACATAAGTGATATGGTGGTTAAGGTGTTGAAGGAGTAAAATGGGAGGGGTTCGAATCCCTCTATTGGGATATTATCGTTAATATCTCGATACATTGCCCAAATCATTCATAAAAATGTTGAAGTTATCTCCCCGATAATATCGATATTTAATACCTTGATTGTGACCGTATAGCCGAAAAACCAAGAACAAAATCTAACAGGGAAGAAGAGCATACTCGTCTGCCAAATTAGCATCAGAACAAGATGGAACTTGCAGTTTCAACAGAAAAACATCCATAAATGCTGCTTAAATTCAAAGTTAACATATGACAGGTGCTCTCGATTTCAGTTTTCGGAGGATAACTCTCAAGTATCTATAAAATAAAACCAGAATACAAGACAGCCTTAAAGATACTCATATCCAATTGTGGCTACAATTGGGCATTCATCTGCTCACAGAGTTAAATATGACGCTTCTTAACCTTGCCCCCCTTGCCTTGACGCCTTCTTTTACCCACCTTGAATACCCTCTTGGATTTCTTGCCTATCCCACCACCAGGCTTCAAAAAGTTCATTCTTTGATTGCCACCAAACATCTCCACATCTATTAAAGGAAAAAAGACATCATCCAGATCAGTAAACTTGAAAATAGCCAGCAGATAAATTAATTGATGCTGATTGGCAAGAAAATGCTACAGGTCATTAAGAAAACTCAAATTTCGTAAATCACATTCTTTCCTGTAATATATAATCATCTAAAAGGCAGGCATCATGTAATTGCAATTATGCATAAGAATGCTAGAATACAACCCAAACATTAATGAAAAGCACCAAATGTATATTCAACATAATATATTATTTATTATCCAACAAACCTATGGTGCCACTGATTCCCGCCAAATGAATACTCTTATATCTTGCTTAACAATAGGGAAGACATTTTATGAAAACATCAGATATCCAACACCAAGGGATACAGAAACTAAAAATCTACGTCGTTTGGAGATAAATTACTGAAACAAGGCCTCCGGCCCATCTAATTCTATTTGTTTGTTCACTTGTTTGTTTGTGTACTTGGCCATTTTACATAATCAACTCTAAATTCAGACTACCTGTATAAACCAAGCATACGGATCATGCTTTAAGCTGAAATCAAATCCATACTAAAACCTTCTAGATAGTGTTTACGCTGGTAAACAACGAGAATCCCGGATATACAACTCACTTCTTGAATAGTATCTTTCTGAAATACAAACCTACTCTAGTTATTTTTACGACCAAAAGATCATTTTTCACAATAACTCCAATAATATACCTTGTAAAGAGAATAATCCATCACAAAACATGTATATCTGTCCTTCTTTGAATATGTTAAGAGCTAGCAAAAAGGACCGTTTTCAATCATCAAAGGGCATCACAAAAACCAAGTGGGTGTATACAAATTCAAACAAAACTAGCAACAAATAGGGACTAAATACATAATTTCCAACAAATTAAGTAAAACATAGCACATGGGAACGTGAATGTAGCACAAAAGCGTAATTGGAGCATACCCATGTTGCTTGTTGAGGCCGTAGTGCTGTCAGTTGTAGTGACCTCCATAGCAGACGCGGATTTAGGAGGGGGCCGTACAGGCAGCTTAGGGGCAGCGAGGGCAGCTTCCTGGGCAGCGAGCTTAGCTTCGTCTTTCTTGTCGTAGTAGGGCTCCACCATCTCTCTCCGAATGGCTCTCAGCCTCTTCTCTCGCTTACATCTCATCGACTTCGCCATTGTCACCGCCTTTTGCCTCTTGATTTTGGGTTTAGGGTTTTGCGAAACAAAAGAGACCCGAATAACGATTTAGTTTAGGTATTTATATCTTCGGAGTTTGGAGATTCATACAGCCGGTCCGGGTCGGCCGGGTCAGCCGGTTCGGCTCTGTTCGATTACTTGGATTATTTATGATTTAGGGGGGATTGGAATTTCCAAATTTAGCCCTAAATGTATTTACAAATAAATTCTCTTAAAAATTTAATCCTCCCATCTTAATTTGTAAAATTAATTTCTGCTCAACTCAGGAAAATTAAGAAATTAAGCTTGAGGCCCTCATTAATTTTCTTTTAATTATTTGATTAGTATACTCAAAGGGTAAGGTTGGAAATAGCTTGGTTTGAACTTTGATCAATGACTCATTAAAAGACAGCACAATTGCTAAAGGAGTCTAATATGCTCATAGGCAGAGATGTTTCTTCTTCTCATAACAATGTGCTGACATATCCAAAGGCAGCCAAACATACACATATTATCATCCCTCCATTTTACCACTGGACAAACAATTCACAAGAGACACTGCTGCTGGCTGGCTCTTGGGCCACTTCTCATGCCTTGCCAATGAATTCCACCTCAAACAGAAGAACTGAATCTGGAGGAATAATGCATGAGCCTGCACCATGGCATATATAGTAGTAAGTTAGTAAGTAACCAAATGAGACTGTCTTGCACTTCATCTGGTTCTACAAAGAGAGGGAACAAAATGTGACTGCTTAGCTTACCTCCTCTGCATCCAGCTCCTCTTACGCCGTACGCGAGTTCTGGAGGAAGCTTCAAGGAGCGTTTTCCCCCTAATCAAGTTATAAAGACTAATCAACTTCTTGTTGTCATGGATTCAACAATGGTAGTGGGATTAATAAGGGTAAACATGGCGTTCATGGATTTTTACTATACCAGCAAGCATTGGAGGAATTCCATCACCACCTAGAATACCTTGATCCCACCCTTTGATAACCTGTGGGATTTCAAAGAATGCAAATTAACAATACTTCAATTTAGATAGAGAGGGCTAAAAGAGTCTTGCTTATGCGTGCTACATGCAGTGAGGTGATTAGCAACGTGATTGCTAAATGTGGTACAAATAGTTCTATTCGGCGTAAAATATTAACACGGAAAGTGTTGGGTGATTTCATTCGAGAAGGGCATTGCCTTTTTTCAGGCAACAATTTTTATGTTTAGTGGACAAGAGTTTCAAACATTGATCACAAACAAATCCCCTAAAGACCTCAAGTAAGATTCTTGAGCAACCATATCAATATTTTGAAAGCAGGAGACACCACCCAATTTAGGGAAGTCCAGAGCACAAATAAGGAAAATTTTGGTCCAGGCAAACACGAGTTGCTGCAAATTATGAACATATTCAAATGGTGATATGCACACCTCACCAACACCAACACGAAAGGTAAGGGGCTTCCCACGATTGTAGCTGCTATCAAACACCTTCCCATTCTCCAATTTCCCAACATAGTGTGCCTGCATTTGCATTACAAAATTGATCAGAACAGAACCCAGATACATAAGACCCTGATTTGCCCACTAGGTCCTAAAATTAATTCAACTCAACAACTATTAGACTTCCAAACAATTTTGTTTGTTTTAAGCAAATACAACAAAAAAAACAACAAAACCCATGTTTAATTTTCTGCAACAGAACCCATGGTATATATACCTTAATCAGCTGTCCTTGAACAGCCTCAGGGCCATATCCCACAACTTTGTCACAGAAAGCGAGGCCAGAAGGAGATACAGTTAGCTCGCAAGTGCCCTCTTCAGCTGCTTGAGTGGGTTGAGGTGCCAAGAGTACATCAAGAAGGCCAAGACAGAAGCCAAAGCCAATTGCTTCTCTTCTCTTAAGCAAATTTGGGTTCTCATTTATCTGCAGTACTTGTTCAGAAGAAGAAGATGAGCTTCTTCTCTGTGGATGGCTTAAGATTTTGACTCTTGATGTTTCTGATGTTGTGACATCCCTCTGGAGCAAAATGTTTTGTGTTCTCAACTTTCTGGGATTGCAAGTGCCAAGTGAAGATGCCAACGAACTCATTTCAATTTTCAACCAACCACTAATCTGATAGAGATAAATCAAGATTGGCTTTTGCAACAAAAATTTAGTGTTCTTGGGACTCTGGTTGAATGCTATATGGACCAACCCAGGAACTTATATGGGCTTTGGTAATGACCAACTGGAAGCCCACTTAAGGTAGCCTATGTACTACTGTATTTGCCAAAAAGATAAAAGAATAAAAAAGTAACTTTCATTCCATTTTTTGCTTTTTTGGGTGTTGATTTTAGAAAGGGATTAAACTCTCACACACTACACAGATTCTATGACTCGAACTCACGATCTTTCCAAATAGATACATAATCATACCATTCTTTAGCAAAGTGTGTCCTTTCACAAAACATAGCAAATGATTAGAAGTCTGATTATGTATCTAATCTTTACATAAATCGAGAGGTTGATTGATCTATTTTATATCGAAGTTATTTTAAAAAAACGCCTTGCGAGAAATATAGTTGATATCTTCTGCAAACAAAAAATGTAGCTTGTTTAATGTGCTAAGCTCTGCTCAAGGAATTTTCTGATTCTATGAATCTAATTCCCACATCTATGAGTCTTAAAATAGAAGAGACTTACTTAAATTCACCGTGTTTCTATTTTATTTTATTTTTTGTCAATTCCAGTTAGGTACTCTATGGTTTCACTCGTAAAACACGTTTGTCATGTCCTCTTAATTTTAACAGTAAAGTACCCCAATATTGAAAATAGATCTGACGGAATCACATTGCAACTAGGGTGGGCACGGTTCGGTTTGGACCGATTTTTGCTTCAAATTAGAATCGATTCGGTACTATTCATCCAATTTGGTTCGGTTCGGTTTTAATAAAAAAAAATCAAAAACTGTCTGATTCGGTTCAGTTTTGAACCGGATTATAAAAATTATTTTTTAATACAATTTTCAACTGAAAATTTATTTATTTAACTTGAAAATTAACAAATTATTCAATTTCATATTAAAAAAAATATTTAAGCTAGAAAAGAGAGATATTTTGAAATTGAACTTGGATAAATATTAGTTATGAGATTAAAAATATAGCATTGAATATAAATAAATATTGAAATTATATATTTTTTAATTTGACTAATTCGGTTCGGCCAGGTTCGATTTTTGAAGACATAGAACTAGAACCAAAACCCATCCAAATCGGTCCGGTTTGATTTTTGACCGGTTGTTGACTTTTTGGTCAACTCGGTTTTTTTCTGGTTTGGTTCGGTGCGGTTCGGCTCGAATTTTCGGTTCGCCGGTTTGAATGCCCACCCCTAATTACAACAACTGGAAAGACCAGGGTATCTAAATGTAAAAATTGAGAGGATAAGGACAAATATGCCTTGCGAGTGAAATCACATGATACCAAATTAGAATTTACCCATCCTCTCTTTTCTCTCCATATCCAAACCCTAATTCAAATCATTGAATCTAAATCTAGAGCTAGCCAATCCCCTCCCAATACAAAACCTCCAATACCTCCAATTACAGAATCAACAACCACCCCAAAACAACTATATCCCCCACCACCCCAAAAAGAACCACACATAACCTCTGATGTCTTAATCCTTAGTGGCCTTGCAACAACCTGCTCCCTTCAAACCAAGGTCATGTCTTAATGCTTAGTGGGCTTGCAGCAACCCTGCTCCCTACAAACCTCTGAACCATAAACCAATTCACTAACAATCTGCAAAAGCAAAACTCAAACCTATTTTGGTGGGTCAGAGGTTCAGATTCAATATGTTAATTTCCTCCAATATCTTAAATTGGTGCAATTGTGCAACCATGTGGCATTCGTAGACAATCATAATTCAATTTAGATTCGAATGTAATGTACCACCGTTTCTTCTATTTGCACTTTCAATCTTATCATTTAAGAAAATCTATATTACATATTTTCATTCTAAAGATATGCTAATTCATGTCATACTTTTCTTATTTATTTACCCCTCATCTAAAGGTAGCCGCAGCATCATAAGCAAGTAACCATATGCAATATTGTTATTAATTTATATGTTAGCACCATTAGAAATACCAACAACAATTATAGTTAATTTAACAATTCAGTTTTTTTTTTTTTTTTTTTGGTTGGTCGTTTTCAAAGTCAGGTTCACAATTGAGGACACTTACACATTCGTCTTTTCTTAATTATGCTATGAAGATATTAATTCAAGAGCACCTATATATATTATTTCTGTGGATTTAGGTGGACAGTTGTGCGATTACTTCCAACTTCTTCAGGTCATGGCTTACATGTGGAAGCATTGGTGAAGATACTAATACAATGTGTAAGGAATACAAAGGGGGTGAAACAGAAAAAAGAAAAAAAAACACAAATTGATTTGAAAGAAAGGAACTACCAAAAAATAAGTCCTATAATGCATTGAGGAAACAAACCCGATCAACCGTTTGCAGTTGATACAGACACCTGAAACTTGATCCATGTCCCGATGTCAATGCTCATTTACCTGGAAATGTATCCACATCAGTCAGATTCTAGCCACCATCTCATGAGTATTTGATCGACTTAGTAGTTGCTTTGCCAAACTTAGAAACCTACTTGTGGCAGAAAAATAAATATATCTGATATGTTTTCTGAAAAGTACCAATAGAGCCTTTGAGCACAGGTGCAGAGCATGAAGAAAATACTCTGCTTTTTGCTCCTCAATCTTGTTAGTCTTCAAAACCTCATAACAACTAAACCAGCTAATGTTATTAACCTGATCAATGCATTATTCTCGCTCGTAAACAAGTAAACCATCTCAACACATTGAAAACTCACGCCAAGTTAGTATCATCCACGTAAATTTCTTAAGTTCCCCAAAGACAGACGGAATGGAAATTTTCTACTAGACTACTATCCACTTCTAACAAAACTAGAGCCCCTGGCCTTCCTCACATGTTGGCTGACCATTAAATTCCTCACTCTTTCTGCATCATCCCACTTCCCACCCAAAGCATACAAATCTGAGATAAGAGAATAAACCCCACCGTCGTTATCTGGTTTTACCATCTTCATGACCTGCTCAACCACTCGTTCGGCCATCTCAAACTGTTTATGCTCCTTACAAGCACATAAAAAAGCACTCCAGACAACAACATTGGGCTCAAATCTCATGTTCTTAATAACCTCATAAGCTTCCTCTAACAGTCCTGCCTTGCCATACAAATCAACCATGCATCCATAATGATGAATTTGAGGCTCCAAGCCACTTTCTTCAATCAACTTGAAATATTTTCGGCCCTCCTCAACTAGTCCTGTATGCACACAAGCACTAAGAATTCCTGTGAAAGTCAATTCATTAGGTCTTACACCAGCTTTTTGCATCATCTCAAACAAAGACAATGCTGCTTTGCTGTAGCCATGTTGTGCCGATCCACAAATCAATGCAGTCCAAGACATGACATTCCTTTCTTGCATCAATTCAAAAACCCCTGCAGCTCCCTTCAAAAACCCACACTTAGCATACATGTCAACCAAAACTGTACCAATCTCCACATTCAACTCCCATCCATTCTTGACCATAAACCCATGAACTGATTTCCCCACAAGCAACCCAAGATGACCCAGGTGGGCACAACCGGATAAAACTGATCCTGCAGTCACTTGGTCAGGTTTTATACCTCCATCCATTACCATATCCCGAAAGACTGACAGCCCACACTCTTGATTGCCATTGTTCACATACGCAGTGATCAGGGCAGACCATGATGCAACATCTCTCAGTGGCATTTCCTCAAAAACCAAACGTGCTTTTTCTACATCCCCCGACCTCGAATACCCTGCAATCATCGTGTTCCACGTGACCGTGTTCTTCTCAGGCATTTCATCGAACAGTACACAGGCATCCACGAACGAGACAACAACGTACGCATGGAGAAGTGAAGTGGCCACATATACATGATTGCCAAAGCCAAGTTTCATGATATGGGCATGGAGGTGTTGAATGATTTCTTGATTCCTTAACTGGGTACATGATTTTAGCGTATAGAGCATGGAAAAACTATCAAAAGGAATAGACTCACGGTGCATTTGAGAGTAGATGTGCAAAGCTTTTTGGGGGGGAGAAGCATTTCGTATAGCCGAAGCCCAAGAATTGATGCTTTTGAAGAAAAAATAAAAGGCGTGGTTAGTGGGTCTTATTAGATGGCTGGAGAGCGAGACAACGATGGATTGCATTGCTTGTAAGCCTTGTATAGTTTCATTTGAAAAACTAGTAGTTGCCGCGCTCTGTGCATAACGTTTTAGCTGTTTGGAAATTCTTTCCTTTCAGTAAATATTAAAAAGCAAAAAAATTAAATTAAATTAAATGGAAAAGACCAAAATGATTAGTGATCCAATTGAAAATCCAAGCACAACAGGGATCAAAAAGGTATTTCACCCTTTAAAAAAAACCTATTTTAAACTAATTGAAATCTTTTTTTGGAAAAACACCTGGTTTTAAAAAAGGGATGAAGTTAGGGTTTTTGGTATGGCAGTTGCTTGGCAAATTGAAATGGATGAGCCATCTTAGGAATTGATATCAAGCTTTAGAGGAAGCTACAGGAAAGTCAGATTGCAACTCAGAACTACTTCTCAATCAGATTGGAGCATCCAACTGCTGGCCCAAATTCCAATAAAATCCTATGACAATCAAAGCAAAGAATGTTATTATTGAGATCAATCTAACAAAACAAATGAGACATCTTAACAAATTGAAAGCTCAACCCAAGTTAATATCATCCAGGTAAATCCCATGAGTTGCCCGAGGACAGATGGAATGGTAACATTCTACTATCCGTTCTAACAAACCTAGAGCCCTTAACCTTCCTCACATTTTGCTTGACCATTAAGTTCCTCACTCTGTCAGCATCATCCCACTTTCCACCCAAAGCATACAAATCCGAGACAAGAGAATAACGCCGATCATTGTTTCCTGGTTTTACCATCTTCATGGCATGCTCAGCTACTCTTTCCGCCATCTCGTACCGTTTATGCTTCATACAAGCATACAAAAAAGATTCCCAGACATAAATATCGGGTTCAAGTCTCATTTTCTTAATTACCTCATAAGCTTCTTCT